AGCTTATTGAAATAGGGCATTATTGAAAAACCACTATATTACAAACTTTACCCAGGAGACATGGACTCCCAAAAATACACAAACCAAACTTTCCACTTCTGCCTATTGTATGTAGCATAGACTCTATCACCTACAACCTGGCTAAACACCTCAAAACCATTCTGGCTCCTTCCACATCACATAGAAAACACAAAAGAATTTGTAAATAAAATCAAACACCTCCAGTTTGACACAGATGAGACAATGGTCTCGTTTGATGTGACATCGCTTTTTACGTCGGTCCCTATTACAGAGGCGGTAGAGGCTGTAAGAGAAAGCCTACAGAAAGACGCCACACTAGGGGAGAGAACGAAACTAACAGCTGACCACATCTGTGAAATACTTGAAATGTGTCTTAACACCACGTATTTCCAATTTAGAGGCACCTTCTTTAGACAGATTCATGGCTGTGCGATGGGCTCCCCAGTCTCTTCTATAGTGGCCAATCTGTATATGGAGAAACTGGAGGAACAAGCCCTGGGCTCTTACCAAGGGACAGCGCCAAGCCATTGGTTTCGATATGTAGACGATACATGGGTTAAGTTAAAGAAACAGGAAGTGGAACCATTTTCAGAACACATTAATTCGGTGGACCCTTTTATAAATTTCACTCGCGAGGATGCTAAGGAGAGTGAACTCGCCTTTCTAGATTTTAAGGTCATCATACTGGAGAACGGACAATTAGAGACTGAGGTCTTCAGAAAGTCCACTCACACTGACCAGTACCTGGCCTTTGATTCAAATCATCCGCTACAACACAAACTTGGGGTCATTAGAACGCTTCAACACCGAGCCCACCAGGTCCCCACTAGCTCGAAGGGAAAGAACAGAGAAACCAAACATGTTCAGAGAGCACTTTCCAGATGTGGCTACCCCAAGTGGTCTTTTACTAAAGCCCAAAGGACGAGAAAGGCCAGAGACACAGTCCAACAGACAGAAGAAAGTAGGAGGAGAGGGGTGTCCTTCCCGTATGTGGCGGGAGTTTCAGAGAAACTACAAAGAATCTTTAGGCAACACAAAATCCCTGTGTATTTCAAACCTTTCAACACATTAAGACAAAAATTAGTGCATCCTAAAGACAAAACACCCAGACACAAACAGAGCAATGTGGTGTATTCAATTAAATGTAGTGAAGAGGAGTGCACTGACCACTATATTGGAGAAACTAAACAAACTCTACAGAAACAACTTTACCAACATCGTAGAGAAAACTCTAGTGGGCCACAGTCGGCTGTTCATCTCCACCTCAAGGCCTCCAACCACACGGTGGATGACACCGAGGTTAAAATTTCTGGCTCGGGACAAGAATTGGTTTGAGAGAGGGGTGAAAGAAGCCATTTTTGTGAGGAAACAAAAACCTTCTCTTAACAGAGGAGGAGGGTTAAGATTTGTTTTGCCTCGCATCTATGACGACATCCTAAAAACAACGCCCTAACTTGGGACAAGGTCAGTGACATGCTAATAAGTTAGGAGGGGTGAAACCTGCACTCCACTTGAGCATCCCAGCAGGCAATAGGTCTGTGACATGCTAATGAGTTAGGGTCGTTAGCCTCAGCAGGGTCGTTAGATCTGCTCCCTTCTACATCAAGCAGACCTTAGTTGTTCATGAGTTAGTATCAGGATTAGGGTGTGGCTAACCACACCCATAGGTTATAAATCTCCAACGCGCGGTCTGAGAATTAATTCCCTGAAGAAGTCCTTAGGATTGAGGACGAAACGTCGGGAAAACTTGCCAAGAAGTACAGATGAGGGGTGAGAAACCTTCCTTTGCTAGTTCTACAACAGTTATCTGGACAGAAGCACACAACACACAAGGTTTTAGTTTATACTTACAGTGGTGAGGAATGACTGAACCATGCTGCTTTAGATCGTTCTCCTCCAGTCACTTCTAACTCACTGCTCCTACGAAGTGAGTTTTATTGAAAGATAAACACACCTCCAACACACATACAACACACATACAGAATAGCCCCAAAAGTAAAACATTAACCACTTGTTGGACATCGTCTTGCAACATAGTTCCACAAAACACCTCATTGTGGAAACTGTGGATAATTATTAGCTTGGTTTCAACACCTGAATGGTAAGTTTCCACACTCCAATGTAGGTCAAAAAGAAATTTGTCTAGACTATATTATATCTAGATTATATTCACATTCATTTTAATGATAACCCATACGATTCCATTATCAGTTTTACACTGGTCCAGACCGGAACGGAGAGGATTCATGGTCCGAACCAAGCGGATCAGGTGAAAATCCACTGAAGGAATGCTATTTGAAAAATCCTCAGGAAGCATTTAGAATTTTACTTTGGACTAGAGCAGAAAAAAATGTCCGAACCAAGTAGCTATTCCACTTTGTGACCTGTCCTGCTCCACCCAGCGGCTACTCCACCTCTGGAGCTGTGACCCGTCCTGCTCCACTCAGAGGCTACTCCATTTTTGCTGCTGTGACCCGTCCTGCTCCAACCAGAAGCTACACCACCTCTGCTGCTGTGACCCGTCCTGCTCCAACCAGAAGCTACACCACCTCTGCTGCTGTGACCCGTCCTGCTCCAACCAGAAGCTACACCATCTCTGCTGCTGTGACCTGTCCTGCTCCACCCAGAGGCTACACCACCTCTGGTGCTGTGACTTACAATACACAATACAATACAATGTATTCTTGTATAGCCTTAAGTCACAACAGAAGTAATCTCAGAGACTTAACAAAACCATTGAAATCACCAACACAGATCAGAGAATCAACAGTTAAAACACATGAAAAATATAAAGCACACACAGAAGAAAATGTCCATACATGTTGCAGAATGCTAAAGTGTCCTGATCATCACCAATCCTTTCTGCTGGACACTAACTGTCCAACAAGACCCTCCTGCATCGCCAAGGTTAAACTCATAAAAAACCCAGTGGGGAAAAAGTGAGAAACCTTGGGGAGACCCATTTGAGAAAGGGATCCGCTCCTCCGGACGGACAGGCTAATGATACAGGATCTAAGCTAGCTACAGAACGTGGATCAGCGGCCGCTGAGCGTGGACAGGTCCGGTGCAGGACTGAAGCACTCCCAGGCGGGTCGGGCAGGGCAGTCTGCAGGTGTAGATGGAGGAGGCCAGGCTCAGAGGTCCCATCATTGTACCATGAAACAGACAATGGGACAACGGGTGAATAGCAATGAACAAACTACAGTCAAAATCCTAATAATGCTAAACAGGTAAAGTAGGAAGGAGGAGAGGATAGTGCTCAAGTTACCATACTTCTCCCAGCAAACTGACTCCCTATGCAGCTTGACTGACAGTCTGAGTTTAGCCTTCCCTGAGTTTTACCTTCCTAGCCATATGCTAAAGGGACCACCAGACGTCTGGCGTTTTGTGAGCGCAACGAGGAGCCAAGCCATTTATGGCTTTATATGTTAAGATAAGGATTTTAAACTTTATTCTGTACTCCACAGGGAGCCAGTGGAGTGATTTTAACACCGGAGTTATGTGCTCCCTCCTTTTGGTACCTGTTAAGATCCTAGCTGCTGTATTCTGAACGAGCTGGAAGCTCTTCAAAGAGGTTTTAGGGCATGCTGCCAATAAAGCGTTACAGTAGTCAAGTCTTGAGGTGACAAACGCGTGAATGAGTTTTTCCGCGTCACTTTTAGGAAGGAAATTCCTGATTTTAGCAATGTTCTGTAAGTGGAAGTACGCCGTTTTAGTTGCTTGGCTTATATAAGCCTTGAAGGAGAGTTCTTCGTCGAAAATGACTCCAAGATTCCTCACAGTGTTACTGGGTATAATACTGACATTATCAGAGTAATTATCTGGTTAGTGAGGGAGTCACGCAGGCGCTTCGGACCGAGTAGGATCACTTCTGTCTTCTCCGGGTTAAGCAGTAGGAAGTTAAGAGTCATCCACGTTTTAAGGTCCTTTATGCAGGCACTGAGCTTTTCCAGCTGATCTGTCTGATTTGGCTTCATCGACAGATAAAGCTGTGTGTCATCTGCATAGCAGTGGAAATTAATTCCATGCTTTTTAATAATGTTTCCTAACGGCAGCATGTAGAGAGTGAAAAGAATCGGTCCGAGTACCGAACCCTGCAGCACACCGAATTCTACTCCAGAATAAGGCGACGAGTTCTGATTTACGTTGACGAAGTGATACCGATCTGATAAATAGGATTTAAACCAGCCAAGGGCTGTTCCTCTAAGACGTATATCACATTCTAGCCTCTGCAGTAGAATGCTGTGGTCTATTGTGTCAAATGCAGCGCTAAGGTCCAGTAGGACCAGCACTGACACTTGTCCATTATCAGCAGCTAGTAGTAAGTCATTTGTGACTTTGACTAGTGCCGTTTCAGTGCTATGATGAGCTCTGAATCCAGATTGAAAGACTTCAAACATATTATTTTCCTGCAGGTGGCAGCAAAGCTGCTCAGCTATAAGTTTTTCCAGGATTTTAGATATGAAAGTGAGGTTTGAGATCGGTCTGTAATTTGTAAGTATTTTTGGATCCAGGTTTGTTTTCTTCAGAAGGGGTTTGATTACCGCGGTTTTAAAAGATTGTGGGACATAGCCACATTGTATGGATGCGATTATTATTTATTGGATTGCATTTCCAAGTTTTTCCATAGGCATCCCACATTATAAATGAGAAATAACATTGACATTTTTGTGATGATTTGATTTGTAGCTTTTAGTTCTACTACTCTAATAAATATAGAAATCCAAAAATATATATAGAAATACATCACTTGTACATTACAGATCAAGTATTTTTTTTATGGTGTTCGGTCGGTGTGACATGTGATTGTGTGGCAGGGATTTTAGTGTGTAGTATGACTCATTATTGGGTGGCAGAGATAACAGAGTGTGCAGTGAGACACATGATTTTTTTGCAGGGATTACAGAGTGTGCAGTGAGACATGTGATTGTGTAGCAGGGATTGCAGATTGTGTTGTGTGACACATGATTGTGTTGCAGGGATTACAGAGACGTTCAGGCTGCGCTGGACGCCATGAAGAACGTTGCTCGTCTCATCAATGAGAAGAAGAGGCGTCTGGAGAACATCGACAAGATCGCCCAATGGCAGAGCTCCATCGAGGACTGGGAGGTCCGTACACTGACACACACATAGCCCCATAAACGCACACACACCCAGCTGCACACATGCAGATACACTTGCACAAACACATATGCACACATACTTCAGAGGGACACTCTTCAGACACATTTTAGACTACAGACATGTCTATAGCTCTAACGTGGTAACCATGTGTGTTTACGCTTGTATACGTGCAGGGTGAGGACATATTGAGCTGCAGCTCTGAGCTCATCTTCTCTGGAGAACTCACCAAACTGTCCCCTCCTCAGACCAAAGGCCAGCAGAGAATGTTCTTCCTCTTCGACCACCAGATGGTTTTCTGTAAGAAGGTGAGGTTAGAGCTGTAATCGGCCCTGAAATTGGCCTGGGGCGGCAGTGGCTCAGTTGGTAGCGCATTTGTGTGGGTCGTGGGTTCGAGCCCACCACAAGATTTTCTCCACCGACTCCCATTACTGCCTGCTGTTGTTGTGTCCTTGGCAAGACACTTGACCTCTGGGAACACCAGTTACCACAGTGGGATGACTGCGGCTTAAAAGTGCCAAACTGCTGTTGTGTCCTTAGGCAAGACAATTCACCCCCATTGCCTAGAATGAGTCTGGTTTGTGTGTTAATGATTGGTGGTGGTGGTTGGAGGGGCCGACGGCACATACTGGTTGCCTTGTTTCTGTCAGTGTTCCCCAGGGCGTTGCTGTGACTACAATAGTAGTTTCTCACCACTGTGTATGAAGGGTCATAGAGTGTCCAAAAACACGCTATATAAAACCGATGTATTATTATTTTTAAAAAGTGAAGCCTGGCCCGTACGAGAGAGGATTCTGTCCAATCCCAGCTGTGTTCCGCTGATCTACTGTATGCGCTACTGTGTTGTGGTCTCATTGCAGAGTGAACTCATACAATTCAAAATCCTGCACAGATATCACCACCCCGGTTACAAATTAACAAAAATGGGATCCACTTCAGACATCTGCCCACACTGCACACAGGGTTGTAGGGACAATTACATTCACGCTCTTTGGCACTGCACTCCAGTTCAAGCATTCTGGGAAGCCGTCCCTCAGTCACTCACTACTTCACTTTCTGCAACATCCCAATGTCCCCATCCCTCTGTGTTTTAGGAGACATATCCACACTTCCCATCAATCAAAATAAATCAAATTTATCTTCTGATGTCGCGAGCTATTGCCAAAAAAAAAACTAACTACAATAACGACGTGGGATGACAACATTCTACAACAAAGATATGTTTGTATTTGGTTGACTCCATGACTGTGGATAGAAATTCTAACAGGCACCTGTACCTTTATAGCAACAAAGAGTGTACACAAACGTGGTCCTTTCATTTATATGATGGTAGATGTTCAACCAATGCAAAGTCTTAAAGGAGCTATACCCGTTTCTGCGCGGTTTGAATGTTTATCACCGCCCCCCAACTCGCTCACAGGTCTCTCATTTCCCCTACGCTCTCATTCCACGGAGCCATCTAGTTTTATTTGCGATCTGATACGTTAGCATTAGCGCAACTGTACAACTGCAGCTGTACAACAATCATTGATGAAATGGTACAAAAGCAAAGCAGGTCCTACATGTGGTGTCTCTCTGGACCGCTGCCCTATTGGAGGATTGCTATGGATGGGGGTGTTATGTGCAGCTGCCACTCAGACCTGATCCAGTTCTAGGCTCCACTTCCAGGATTTCCAGCCTGCCTCAGGTTCCCTGCAGGGAGCCTATAAGACCACACCTTGACTCCACCCGTCTCTCTCTCTGTCCTGGCAGCAGCAGCCCTTCTCCCCACCACAACTGTCTTCCCCTTTTTGGTTTTCTTCGTGTTGTTTCCCTAGACTTTTGTTTTGTTAATAAATTATGTTAACTTTTAGTTGCCTGTTGTCCTTCATGTTGCACCTGTAGAGCCCAGTGGGGGAGGGTCCCAGCTCAAACAGTGAACATTGTTACTCACTTTTCCTATTGGCATGACGTTTGATTCACCTGCGCTATATATATAAAGATTACTTGGTTATATGTTCTACTGTCTACACAATAACAATTTTGGTCACTAGATGTCACCGATTAGACACCAATGACCTGTAGTGAATGCGTTGAATGCGCCTTTTGAATGCACTGGGAAACGACTGCAAGTCCTTAGTAGCTCTGAAACAGTTGTTGTTTTGTGCTTTACAATTTTTATTTTTATTGCTTTTTTCTGCCTGAAATGTTGCTGCAATACATTGTTCATGGTTTTACACAGGTCCAGACCAGAGCAGAGATGATTCATGGTTTTACACTGGTCCAGACCAGAGCAGAGAGGATTCATGGTTCAAATCAAGCGTATCAGCCAAATTTCCACTGGAGGAATGCTGACTTTTTGAAATATGTTAATGAAGCATTTAGAACTTTACTTTGGACTAGAGCAGAGATAATGGTCCATCTGTGCTGCTCTGACCCGTCCTGCTCCACCCAGAGGCTACTCTATCTGTGCTGCTCTGACCCGTCCCGCTCCACCCAGAGGCTCCTCCACCTCTGCTGCTCTGACCTGTCCTGCTCCACCCAGAAGCTATTCCATCTGTGCTGCTGTGACCTGCTCCACTCAGAGGCTACTGCATCTGTACTGCTGTCCTGCTCTACACAGATCATTCTAAAAAGGCTTACTATTGTTAGCCTTTTTAGAAAAGGCTAACAATAGTAAGCCGCTAGTAGAGCCAGCTGTTAGCTAGCGGGCACCACTTGCCTCAGCTGCAGAGGCAGCGAAGGCAGCAAACCGCCACAGAATGGGGCCGGTTTCTGAATGATATAGATTAGAGTGGAATAAAAAGTATAAACTGCTTGTCACAGCCTTCCCATATTCCCATACAGTAACCGCTTATGTTGCGGTGCTTTTCTTGACAGTTTTGTCTGTAAATTTTATGTATGAACCCAGACCAAGATAAACTATATGTTGTGGGGGTCATATAGTTATAAAATTCTAAACTCTGCTACAATTAACTGCGGCCACTGCACCTCCTTGTTCCCGAAGGCCTTTTGGATAGAAATGATACCCCATTTAACACACGCTCAAACATAAAGTAGTATTTATTGTACACAAGTACAGTAAACAATATACAATGAAATTGCACATGATATAGAACTAGTAATACTAACAAAAGTCTCAAGCTAAATTCAGCTAGTTAACTAATCTAACAATAAAAGCAACTAACTAATGACTATACTACAATATTCAACAACAACGCTATTAACACTACATAATTATCTACAATACAAACAGCTATGCTTATAAAAATATACCTAAATGCTATAACTAATCGCAAACCTGACAATCGATGAAAATACTCCGTTTATATACCTCTGGGCGGCGGGGCTGCTGACGTGCGCCTTTACTGCAGACGTCAGTCTTTGCTGCTGCGCCAATGGTGGCTTTTTCTCGCATTAAAACAGTATTTTTGTCATGAAAATCTGTACAGATACTTCTGAAAACCTCCGTGCATGTGTATTAAGAATGTATATGTATAAAGTATTCTCCGATTAACATTTAAATGTGTTGATTGATTGGTATTTGCGTTTATTGAGCATGGCTAGCTCCGGAGTGGCCAGAACTACTCGCTGAGTAATCTACACATCTGAATTACAAGCAGAGGTTGCGTTGCCATGGGCAGCGGTCATTATTGTAATCAATGGAGCGTTCTACTGTTGCTTTGAGGAGCTGTGTAATAAGAGTATATATTGTTGAAACTAAAAAGAAAAAACGCGTATGTACAGTGCCTTGCGAAAGTATTCGGGCCCCTTGAACCTTTCAACATTTCGCCACATTTCAGGCTTCAAACATAAAGATATAAAAATTACATTTTTTGTCAAGAATCAACAACAAGTGGGACACAATTGTGAAGCGGAACAAAATTTATTGGATAATTTAAACTTTTTTAACAAATAAAAAACTGAAAAGTGGGGCGTGCAATATTATTTGGCCCCCTTGCGCTAATACTTTGTAGCGCCACCTTTTGCTGCAATTACAGCTGCAAGTCGCTTGGGGTATGTCTCTATCAGTTTTGCACATCAAGAGACTGGAATTCTTTCCCATTCTTCCTTGCAAAACAGCTCGAGCTCAGTGAGGTTGGATGGAGAGCGTTTGTCAACAGGAGTCTTCAGCTCTTTCCACAGATTCTCGATTGGATTCAGGTCTGGACTTTGACTTGGCCATTCTAACACCTGGATACGTCTATTTGTGAACCATTCTATTGTAGATTTGGCCTTATGTTTTGGATCATTGTCGCACACCTGCACGCATAAACACGCACGCACACAGGCACGCAGACACACAATGGCACGCACAGGCAATCAGACACACAATGGCACACACAGGCGCGCACACAGGCACGCACACACACAAACACTAAATGTACTAAAAACTGAACAAGTAATGCGCTGCAGTACGTGTGTCTATACTTTGCGTCAAATGTAAACGGTTGGCTCTGCGTCGCTAACTTACCTCTTTGTTTTCATCACGACTTTGGCACATGTGTGAGTCCAACAACCCAAAACATTAGCATACAGCACTGGCTCCACACGGAGTCAAGGTGCGTTCACAGACGGGGGAAACCATGGGAATTTTTAGTTTTTGGCGGAAAAAGTGCGGCAGATTCTCAAGATTAACATTATTACATTGCCGTCTTCCGAGGGGGGCACTGGGGGTGGCAAGGGTATTTTTAGAGGTGGCAGTGGCCACCCTGGCTACCCCTCTGGCACCGCCACTGCACAGATGCATTCTATTTATCATCATCAGTCATTTAGGACAACATTGGATCATTCAAAGATCCTCACTGAACTTCTGGAGTGAGTTTGCTGCACTGAAAGTAAAGGGGCCGAATAATATTGCACGCCCCACTTTTCAGTTTTTTATTTGTTAAAAAAGTTATTATCCAATAAATTTCATTCCACTTCACGATTGTGTCCCACTTGTTGTTGATTCATGAAAAAAAATTAAAATTTTATATCTTTATGTTTGAAGCCTGAAATGTGGCGAAATGTTGATAGGTTCAAGGGGGGCGAATACTTTCGCAAGGCACTGATATATATATATATATATATATATATATATATATATATATATCCATCCATCCATTCATCCATCTTCTTCCCCTTAATCCATTTCTGGGTCGGGGGGTGGCAGTCAAAGCTGCACCCAGTGTCATCTTTTTTTTATTGGCATATACAATATATTACAACATGGACATTCAACCACATTTGTACATATTAACGTCACTACCTTTTTAGGAGCTCGTTCATACAAATACAACACAAGCATACAAGCATTTGCATAGGGTCAGGGTGGGGGTAAGGGGGTTCAGTGTTTGCGTTTGTGTGTGTGTAACATTTAAATTTTTTGTCATGAATCAGCAACAAGTGGGACACAATCGTGAAGTGGAACAAAATGTATTGGATAATTTAAACTTTTTTTAAAAATTAAAAACTGAATAGTGGGGCGTGCAATATTATTCGGCCCCTTTACTTTCAGTGCAGCAAACTCACTCCAGAAGTTCAGTGAGGATCTTTGAATGATCCAATGTTGTCCTAAATGACTGATGATGATAAATAGAATGCACCTGTGTGTAATCAAGTCTCCGTATAAATGCACCTGCTCTTTGATAGTCTCAGGGTTCTGTTTAAAGCACAGAGAGAACCATGAAGACAAAGGAACACACCAGGCAGGTCCGAGATACTGTTGTGGAGAAGTTTAAAGCCGGATTTGGATACAAAAAGATTTCCCAAGCTTAAAACATCTCAAGGAGCACTGTGCAAGCAATTATATTGAAATGGAAGGAGTATCAGACCACTGCAAATCTACCAAGACCCGGCCGTCCCTCCAAACTTTCATCTCAAACAAGGAGAAGACTGATCAGAGATGCAGCCAAGAGGCCCATGATCGCTCTGGATGAACTGCAGATAACTACAGCTGAGGTGGGGATGGTGTGTTCAGGGCGATGAGCTGTGTTGCTTTTACGCCAAACATATCGTTTTGCATTGTGGCCAAAGAGTTCGATTTTGGTTTCATCTGACCAGAGCACCTTCTTCCACATGTTTGGTGTGTCTCCCAGGTGGCTTGTGGCAAACTTTAAACGAGACTTTTTATGGATATCTTTGAGAAATGGCTTTCTTCTTGCCACTCTTCCATAAAGGCCAGATTTGTACAGTGCACGACTGATTGTTGTCCTATGGAGAGACTCTCCCACCTCAGCTGTAGTTATCTGCAGTTCATCCAGAGTGATCATGGGCCTCTTGACTGCATCTCTGATCAGTCTTCTCCTTGTTTGAGATGAAAGTTTGGAGGGACGGCCGGGTCTTGGTGGATTTGCAGTGGTCTGATACTCCTTCCATTTCAATATAATTGCTTGCACAGTGCTCCTTGAGATGTTTAAAGCTTGGGAAATCTTTTTGTATCCAAATCCGGCTTTAAACTTCTCCACAACAGTATCTCGGACCTGCCTGGTGTGTTCCTTTGTCTTCATGGTTCTCTCTGCGCTTTAAACAGAACCCTGAGACTATCAAAGAGCAGGTGCATTTATACGGAGACTTGATTACACACAGGTGCATTCTATTTATCATCATCAGTCATTTAGGACAACATTGGATCATTCAAAGATCCTCACTGAACTTCTGGACTGAGTTTGCTGCACTGAAAGTAAAGGGGCCGAATAATATTGCACACCCCACTTTTCAGTTTTTTATTTGTTAAAAAAGTTTAAATTATCCAATAAATTTCGTTCCACTTCACGATTGTGTCCCACTTGTTGTTGATTCATGACAAAAAAAATAATTTTATATCTTTATGTTTGATGCCTGAAATGTGGCGAAATGTTGAAAGGTTGAAGGGGGCCGAATACTTTCGCAAGGCACTGTATATATATATATATATATATATATATATATATATATATACTGTGTGTGTGTTCTACTCATAGTAGTATAGTATAGCCTAGTAGCCTGGCTAACACCAGACAATATATCACTAGTGAATATTTAGTCTGGGAACCATCCATTTATGTTCTCATAGGAGAGGTGCTGTTTACGATCTCCGTTCTGAACGTTATCAAAATTTGAACTGAATATTTCAGCTGAAAAACATTTGCCTGTGTGTGATTTGTGCTCGTAGAAGACACTGGACATGCAATATGAACTTGTATTAAAATTGCACTAGAACATGTTCTTCTGCATCCCATGGCTTTGTGTGTACCCAGGACCTCCTTCGCAGAGACATCCTGTACTATAAGGGCCGGGTGGACATGGACCAGATGGAGGTTATGGACGTGGAAGACGGACGGGACAAGGACTTTAACGTGAACATGAAAAACGCTCTGAAACTGCGAGCGCGCTCTGGGGACCTGCTCTTCCTGCTGAGTGCCAAGAAACCAGAACAAAAAGCACGCTGGCTCAGGGCCTTCAGCGACGAGAGGAGGAGGGTGACCAGTGACAAAGAGACCGGTATACACACACACACACAGTCCTCGTCCGCCATGAAGAAAAAAGGTCCCAAATGTTCTACCCCCGGTTACTGAATGTAGTTTAATGGGTTACACAAATCTTCTATTATACCAGTCAATAAGTTTTACATTCTCAAATCTGCTGTTACATGGGGGACAGAAGGTATAAGATCTTACAATAGAACTTGTATAAAATAATATCCATCTAAAACAGTATTCCTCCAACTTGTCAGACCAAGTACCATACTTTGGGTCAAAAACGTATTTAGTCAGCCACCAATTGTGAAAGCTCTCCCACTTAATAATATGAAAGATGATTTTCATCATAGTTACACCTTAACTATGACAGACAAAATTAAACAAAAATATGTTCAAATTATGGTAGAAACTAATTATTTTGTCAGTAACAAAAGTCCATCTAAATACTTATCCCAGAATTTAAGCCATCACCCGTATTTATGTTGGACTTGTTGTTGAATATGAAATACATTTACATATCATAAAATCAATTTCATGTACACATGAAGACCCAATGTAATCTGTCTAATGTGATTATAATGTGTTTAATTTAGGCCAGGAGTGCTGTGTCCTTTTACCATCTACAATACTTAAACTGAGCATTTAAGTATTGAAGGACACATGAATAAAGACAACATCACATTACTTGAGTCATTACTTGATCATAAATCATATATGTATCATGATCAAACCAAATATGATATTCTGAATTGTAACACGTCCACATAAATCCAAGGTATATCTCAGCTCAATGGTTGGTGTAAAAGTGGTTCTTGGTTTGACAAAATGTGAGCACCCCTGCTTTCAACCCTCTGTAGTCTGCCCAGAGTTTGTTTAATGTGTTTAATGCTAATGTGTGAACTGTTTACTTCATTAAGAGAACAATGTGCTGTAACAGCTGATTTAAGTCTGTCTCATGTTCCGTCTTAGTGTGAGTTTCTGTTTTTATGTGTTTTAAATTGTCATTGTTTGTGCATTACTATTACAAAAACCCTTTGAACAACAATTAACAATTAAATATCATTACAAATGTACGACATCATCAGACTTATTAGAATTACTAGAATCACACACACACGTCCTGTTTCCACACAGGAGACATTGACACACTGTTTCCTATGGCAGGTTTCACTCTGACCGAGATCCAGAAGAAGCAGGCCATGCTGAATGCCAGTAAGAGCCCTCCCACAGGAAAACCCAAAGGTGCGAGCATCTACAAGGCCTGGGCTAGACCTGTCTATGGAGTTTGCATGTTCTGCCTGTGTTTGCAGGGTTTTCCTGTGTCTGTGGTTGTATGTTCTACCTGTGTCTGTGTATTCCTCTGCTGTTCCCATAATAGAGTTCTAACATGTACATTACTTTCCAGAATATCTTGTCTGTCCTGATTAGTTAAAGGTAAAGAATTAACTACTGGTCTGAGTTAGCCAAATAAGCTGTGGACTGCTTTCTTAGACAACACAATACTGTATACTCTGTTAAGTAAGTGAACTGTCTTTACATCAAGACCTGCATGGGTCAGCTCTTCAAAAGCACAGTAAAGCTGTGAACTGTCCCATGGGAGTCTGGCTGTGTCCTGACTGATAATTGCATGTTTGAATACGTAGCACGCCCGGTTAAGATCCTCTTGGCACTTACATACTCGCTCTGTGCTCCAACAGTGACCCGGCCGTACTATGAGTTCCTGGTCCGGCAGAAGCACCCATCCCTGCCCACAGCCCTGCCCCAGCAGCAAGTCTTCATGCTGGCCGAGCCCAAGCGCAAGTCTGCCTCCACCTTCTGGCACAACATTGGGCGTCTCACCCCCTTCAAAAAGTGAAGCTGCCCGGTGCAGAGGCCTGTCGTCATAATACGAGGATGCACCACTGAGAGTTGTACAGGGATATAATACCATGAACAAGTACTTTCTGACAATGACAAAATACATGCAGAATAAACTTTAAAACATTTTTATGTTCTGGATCTGTGATATGCAGATTTTTCAGCAGTGTTGAGTAGGCATTTTTACTCACGTTGTAACATTACCTGCAGATCACGATTACGCTGCTGATTCATCAAGGGGCCGAGAGCAGAGCGATATGGCGAGACTCATATTTTACATTGTTTGAGATTAATTTTGAGATAGTTTTCATATTGATCCAATATAACATTCAAGTCTTCTCTAAAAGGCCTAAGCCAATAATGACTACAGTAAATCTGCAGTCCTCCATCGCTCTATTGTTGCACAGAGAACGTGCATCTCTTATTATTAAGGTAAGCCTGTTTGTTTAAGATTATTTTCTTGAACAATTAGAGGATCCGGTGTTTATGGTGACAGGCCCATGGACCAGATGGACAAGGTGGTGTGAGGACCACGCCAAAGCACTTTATGGTGGAGAGTTTCTGCTACTACACCTACTACTCTACTACTACTACTACTGCAACTGCTCTGAAGTTAGTACTACTCCAGCTGCCAGTGCCCCGCCTCCTGACTCCACCTCCTGACTGTGTTTCAGTAGGCTAGACCAGATGCTGGGCTGGAGGGAGGGGCCTATGTTCTGCATCATATTGACTTTTTTCAGCCCTTTTGTGTTTTTTTTACCCTTTCTGTCACAGTGGCCTCAGCTTGAACCATGTCCAAGAAATGAGCAGGGGTCTCTAAGCTTTTTGCAGTGGAGTGCCACAGGTCTGTAAGTGCTGCAAAATTTAATTCATATTAATTCAGTGTTATTTCCGGGCTGAGATATTACAGATAACAGATCCATTAGTAAGACCAATTCACCAGAGAGCTTGAGGGGGCTGTGAAAAGATAGTTTGTACACTCCTGGCAAGATATGTACAGTAATTATCTAATTTAATACTTCAGTAAGGCCCTGTTCACGCAAACCTATAAATTATTAAAAACAGAGAGTCCACACAGATTTTTTTTTTTTAAAGTTTCCGTCCAGACGAATCTGCCAAGGACATGTTGCCACTGTAAAGCTGGGCATACTCTGTGCTATATTTTCAATTGTTGCACTTGGCTTCAGCTCAAACTGCACGACAAAATCGCAGGGTGTAAAAGTTTCTTAGCCCACAATTTATGTTCTCATACTAAACGACCCGATGCTCTTATGCAATCAACAACTGCAGCTGTTGAGCCACATGTGAACTTTCCTAAATTGCTAATCTGGACAAAATTTACCAGCTTCAATTGAACCTCAATCTCCTCCAACTTTTCTCCCTCTTATTCCGGTCGTGGTAGTGCGGGGAGGACACATCAAAGAGGCACCGGTGAGTCTGCCAAAGTTCCAGCTAGTTGCTCTTCCCGAGTTTGGTTCAATGTACGAACCGATGCTATGCTGCCTCCCTCAGTGTTTGCGCAGGCGCAGTGCCAGAGGTAGATGGTAATCGTGTCATAGACGCTTGTAGCATTTCTTCAACAGCGCAATACCCTCACGAGGACCGACCAGAATTTCAAACCAGTTTGATTTTTATCGTACCGTACAATTGTCGATTGGGAGGTGGTTGTGAGAGGGTAATCGCTGCTCGGTACCCTGTGTATACTACAAGATGTGAGACACACGAGTAACCTTTAACTTGGCCCGGTCCAAGAAATTCTCGCGTGATAAATCCTCTCAAAAAGGGGCAACAGTGTATGTCCAGCTGAACACACAGATGTGCTGCCTTACAAGCTCAAGATTCATGGAAAATCATGTAATTGTTTATTGCTAATTTAATATGGTAGAATTTCTTTTTAAATAGCTTGTGTTTGCATTAATATGTTAAGCCTTTAGCTCCTCCATACAAAGAAGCCCATAGAGCCTCACAGATTTGTCACCATTTCATATAGACCCTCTGTATTTTCTGAAAAGAATAAGATAAGATTGATCAACTCCGTGACAGACCGCGATAGAAATGATAGAAACAGGTGAGCATGCCGCAGCAGGACATGATGAATGTCCTGTCATGAGGAATGTCGAAAACAGACAGACATAATATAAAATATGAAATAACTAGATCAATCTGAAAATGAAGACCCCAAAAAATGTTGCATGAGTACTGTTTTACTATCAGAATGTAATTGAAGTACTGTTACATTGTGTGGGGAAGCTGGCCAAAGCGTCAAGCAGGAGGCAGACGAGGAAGTTCCAAAAAAACCAACCTTTATGTGGCAAAATATATCCAAAAATATTCAAAAACTGCTTCAAAACAAAGAAACAGAAAGTAATGGAACTTAAAATAACCCACGTGTACCCGGCTACACTGGTGGTGAACCCCCTCAGACTTACTCTACAGCTCTTTTATCCTCTCCTAAGACCTCCCACTAGTCTCTACTATTACTCACATGGGTTGTTTCTAACTGACTTAATTGAAATGGATACAATATTGACCCTCTTTTGCAGGTTTCCTCTCCTGTTCCAAAGTAATGCTTAAAGGGCCCATATCACGGTTTTTGACTTTTCTCTGCTTTAAACATGATTACAATGCTATTTGGCCTTCATACACAAGCCCACAGTAGTTTATTCATTGATTCTGTCAATCTTTTGTAAGAGAACAATCTGTCTCCTTCCCCAGCGTGAGGCACAGAAACGCTCGGGTCCACTTCAGTGACGAAAACCACACTGATGACGCGCATGACCCCGTTTGCTTTGTATTTAAAATAGTTGTTAAATACTTTTGTCAAAATGGGGTAAACAATACACAATTAGTATGCTGTTTTTTGTCAAAAATAATAAAAATAAAAATAAATTAAAAGCCGGCGGGAGGTGATTGACGGATCAAAACAGCGAATCAGAGCGCACAGGCTCCGGCTCCCGAGTCCAGCGTCTGTGGTCTGGTCTCGCGGACACCACATAGAGCTGCTGTTTTTATGCTTTTGTCAGCAACTAAAAGTGTTAGGATCACGTCAACTTGAATGAAGTGTGTTATGGGTGTAAATATGTGAAACACTATTTGGCCCTAAGAGGAAGAAAGCAGCTCGACTTTTTTCATCTGTTCATCTCATGGATCTATTATAATACCGGTTCATCTGCGACACTTCACTGAGACTGTTCCAGAACTACAGGGACAATGGAACTGGACTTACTCAAAAGCTGATCTGGAAACACGTTATTCCCACGGTAAAAGACGTAACTCTGACCCCCTCGATCTGTAAGTAGTGACGCTAACTCGCTGTATACTTCTGTAAACTAAATAACTAGGGTCTGATTGTGCCTCGAGGACATAGGGCTCGATGTGACGGATTGTCATTGTTGGAAAAAGTTTATTCTTATGTATGAAATTACTAAGTACAGGTGATAAACGACAAAGGCGTGATGCTACGTCACCGTGCAGGCGGGGGGAGGCGGGCTCACAGGCAGAGGAGCAGACTCTTCTCTGGATCAGCTCGTTTGAGTCGAGGTGACGTCACCTCTATACAAGAGATGGCTCTAATCTCACAAGCTTTGATTGTTGTGTGGTGTATCATACACATTAATATCACACATGTGCATAGGATTGAGTGTGAAACATGAAGAAAAGCGTGATATAGAATCTATAAACACTACATAATTGAAAACAAAGCAACCTGTCAAACAAAACTCAAAATCCCAAACCTACCCCATCCACATGGTCTGGTCCAAAGACCCTCCTACAACCTACAAAAATTGCCGATGAAGGGTACGCCTCCTCTTTGAATGGACCATGTGGTGAGGTGAGTATAGCTGTAACTCAAAAGGTGAGTGTTAAAGAAACTACCTCAAAACAGATAACATACTAAAACAAATGAATGTGAACACGTTAATCAAATAAACTGTCAAAATAGGAAAAATATGGGACGAAGTGGCCTGCTTCGTCACACATTGTCACATATGATTGGACAAAATAGACACAATAACACAATTAAAGTCAAGCTCTTGTTCTTGTATCTGGTCAGGCTGTAGATCCCGCTCTGTGCTCTCATTGTCGTCTCCTCTTGTTCTTAAAGTGCCATTGGACCTGTAGTGGAGCCCCTAAGTGACGTGCATGGATGTGTTCAAAGATACTGTGAACTTTTATACCCTGCTGTACAGTAGGCCGTTGCTTCAGACCAAACCCCCTTCTCCTCAATAGGAACATATAAAGGTTCTGGAAGTCCTCGGATATCGGTACTCAAGACCGATATCCTTTGGGTGTGTTCAGACTTTGCAATTGTACCTGAGAGTGGTCAGCATGCTTCGGAATGTGTTTTTTTGTGTCTTTTATTTTGCGAAGATCATGTGGCAAAGTTATTACTTTGGTGCACAAAGTAACTGGTGTCTTTGCTGTTTGTGTTTTTGTAACATTTAAGATTCTAGAAGATGACAAAAAATATGTGCAATAAAGGCCTTATACTCTATACTACCAGTGGTACCCGTATCCCCTTTTGGGAATTATGCCTCTATATCAAAAGCTATAGGTAGAGCAAAAATTACTCTACATGGGGATAAAAACACCATCCGTGCAAGATACAGGAAAATAGAAGCAAAGTGAAATCAAATGGTGCATTTAAAATCTATTTTAATTCCCATCTTCTCCTGCCCCTTTTCCAACATGGGCATTTTGACATTGGAACATGAGCCATGGTACTTAACATTCCTCCACAACACTGTGGGATTTACAAGGGTGCATTTTAGCTACATACAATTATTCCATTTCCCTTATAAAGAACAAGTTTGGCCCTTGGTCTGCTTATATCCATGTGGGGAAGCCGGATAATACTTATGTCCTAGTATAGAACATGTGAAATGTGAAATATCATTGGAAAGGTCTCCAATGTTTTTATTACAAAAGGGTTTGTGACATTCAAATGTTTAGCACACTTCTTGATCTGTGGTTGTGTCCATTCATTTAGAATGGTGACAGCTGATCGCATTAGGACACAATTATAACATTATTTGTCCATTTGACCACTTCAATACTTCACTTTGCATTATCTTCTGCGAGAATTCTGCTCTTTAAAAAACACAACAAAAGCATGCTCTCCAGTCTTGATACTTGACATTAATTTTATGGAACTGTATTTCTGTTAATAAAAGTGAAGGAGCCAAGTGTTAATACACCCAGATATCTGTATGTGCATTCATACTGGTCTTTTCTGCACATGGAATATTAAACATTCCTTTCCTCATTAAACAATGTCTTGTCTTGTGTGTCATTCTGACAGCGAAAACTAACTCATCTCTTCCTCACACACTGAGGACCCAGGCTGGTGTGTCAGAACACCACAAGTGTAGTAGTAGTAGTAGTAGTAGTAGAATGAGCAACAGTTCCATCTAGTGGTATAAGTCAGGTTTTATTTTCTGTTTTCATAATGTTACACTACAGGTAGACAGTTGAAATAGTTGTGGCAACCAAGGGGTTAACAAATTGGAAACTAAATAGTAGAGATTTGGAGATGTTGTAGCAACGCCACCCCAGACTTCCTGGGGAAATAGTGTATTACAGCCTGAAGGCATGCAAGTATTGAAAATACAAGGCAACCGGTTCCAGGTAATTCAGTTTTATTCACAACAGGATTTATTTAACTAACATTCACTTGATGCACGGTTAAGATGCTTTTACATTTAAAAAGCGCTAATGTTAAAATAAAAGGTTAAAACAAGTTACATTGTTGAGATGTCTGCCTGACAGAGGGCAAGACCCAGGGCAAAGAGTGTGCACGCGGGCGCCTGATCCGAGTCTGTTTGCCGTCTGGAGGGACACACCAGTGCGCAGCACGCAACCTGGACCAGACGGGAAGAAGCAGGCAAAGTGGGACACCAAAATGAAACAACAGAAAACCAGCAGAAAGCAAAACACCAGAGGGGTCAGTGCCAATGACTCTGCATACATGTCAGTGCCACTGCAGAGCTCTGAGGACACCACTGAGGTGAGCAACTGCGCACGGTCCCGGCTTGAAAGGCCAAGGGATGGCGCATGGAGCAGGCTACCTGCTGGCGTGGCCAGTCCTGCAGCCATGGGCGTCGGACTGGGGGGGTAAAGGGTACCGAGTACCCAGGGCCCAAGGCGGGGAGGGGCCCTCTAAAGTGTGTCTTTATATTTATATGTATTAGGCATTGTGGTATATTAATATTATTACAATTTGAATGAAAGGGGCCCTGTATAAAAATAACCAACGTTTTAACCTCAGTTTTCCTCTAAAAACAAATTTGTATGCTATATCAGGGCCCTGCCACCCCCTTACAAAAGATCAAATGGTACGACCCGCTTGTTGCTGTGTTGCTGCCGCTGCAGCGAGTTGATTTGTTTGAGCAGCGGCAGAAGCGGGAAAAATAGAAATGTCTTTTCCAAAGAAAGGAAAATCAGGATTTCAGAAAAGAAAAGAAAGACAGGACAGGGAGAAAAAGTGTAATGAGGGCAAGCAATTGCTTACTCAGTTCTTCCACACGAGAGGTGAGTAAATAGAGACGTGTTAAGGCCACATCAGGAGAAAACCCAGAGACATTTGTTTCTGTATTCTAAACTCACGGAGAGCTAACAGTGTGCCGTGTACGTGGTAAAAAAAAAACTTTATCCAGAGTGACACACACAGACGCGCAGCTGTAAAGGGAGCTCACACACACTGCTGTCTACTTCTCCTTCAAAGGCAGGCAGCAAAGAGTTATTTTCATGTACAACCCTGTACCCTATATTCCCACTATTGTCATAATCTGTCCGTCCGTGAGTCTTGCAGTCATAAGTCACGGGTCACTCACTGGCCTCTGCATTGGATCATCTGGTTATAACCATACAAATCACACGCCCCGCACCGATTTGGAGTTTTCTGGTGACATCTAGTGGTCAAAATAATGTAAATAAGTCTAATGGTCTAAAGGTTTCTAGCTCTACAATTATCTTAGTGTGTAAACAAGGATGAAATTAGACTTTCTGGTGTGTAAACTATTGCTTTTAAGCCAGAAATGACAACTGACAATCACAGCCCAGACCATGCCCAACTGTAAGCCCCCCTTCTTCTCCACTGGTGCCATTTTTACAGAAAAATGTCAAATGTTCATGTGGGCGGAGTAAGGCTAGGCACAGGTGTTTAGTTGAAAATGGAATAGGCTTATTTCAAAAAAGATTGCATCGATTTGAATTTTGCCACAAAGTCTAAATTGGTGGATAATAATGAACCATAAAAAGTATTTTGTTGTATATTTGTACAATAACAAATAAGTAACTTACCTACTCATGGTCCATACAAATAAGATAAGATATACTATATATTTTATATGAATAGCCATATACACATATCACATAAAGGCATGCAGGCATATACGTAATAGCTATACACTGTAATGATGGAATATAGTATCTGTTTGCAACCCATTAAAGCTACTTTATTTCAGTTTCAGGAAGAGAAGCATCATGGCCAGATGAAGGCACTAGTAGTGAGGGTTTGACAGTGAGGCATGGTGAGCATTTATCAGTCACTGATTGAACTGTTTTCAATAAGTTAGTAAGTTATTTACTTTATAAGTTTTACTGTATACACTAATTCTATATCATTTTTGTCTGTATTGTGTCCATGTAGCAGAGGCAGAATTAGAAGAGGATGTAGAAACTGAATTAAGTGATGAAAGGGAAAGCGAAAGTGATGAGAATGTGGAGAGGATTGAGGAGGAAAGAGACGACACCAAGAGACTGAGTAATAATGATGAGGGATTGTCAGAGGACCCAGGATTATGGCCAGAGAATCTCACCGATAAACAAAGGAAAAGAATTGTTCATCTACTAGCCAGTGATGGTGGTTCAAAAACAGGCAATACCATATATTATATATAAGAAACGTGTAGTGGGGGCCCATTGAGACTGTTTGTACCCGGGGCCCAGAATTTGGTGCTACCCCCCTGCCTGCAGCGTGGCTGTAACCACAGTGCACAGATGCGTGCACCAGAGTGGTGCAGCAGCGAGGAAATGCCGTGCTCAAACTGGCACTGGAGCTGGTGATCAGGCAGCCAACACAAGGGCCCGGAAGAGTGTGGGCAAACAGCTGAGATTTGGGAGCGCTTTTTATTGCCCACCGGGCCAGCGCCACGGAGCGGCAAGAAAGAGCACACCAGCACAGGTCTCCAAAGCCTGTCTTACCTCAGTAAGTAATCTTTATTTATATGCCGCCTTTCAGTCACAAAGCGGTTTACAATTGTTGTTTTTAGGCATTTGTCTCTCACTCCACACAGAGATGGGAGCGGGGATGTACCAAATTCAGATTTTTGGGGTTCGGCTGAATACCGAATACCGAATCTGAATACCGAATCCTACTCCATCCTCAGTTCATTAATGTTTCATACACAAATGTTTTAACAGCTGCAATGTTGTGTACTGTTTAGGGTCCTTACCACCTCGAGACAATTTTTCGGCATTGCAAATTGAACATGTTGCTCGACTAGAATCACCTTCTTTGGACTGAAAGTACTGCATAACAACATTTTTTCTGCTCCTGAGTTCCATTTTCACTTTCTCACTCACACACCCTAAGCTACTGTATTCCAGAGAATATACTTATAGTAGCCGCACAGCTAGCGCCCAGATGCGTTCAAAGGCACAAGGAAATGAGGCTAACACATAGACAGTTTAATAATGGATTAGGTTCACTGTCCTTTACTTGTTAAATCATCATACACCTGTTATGTGTATCCCTGTGTTCTATTTCTGAAATAATTATTCGGAATAAAATGGTAAACTGTCTATGTATTTCCCACATTTCTGTGCGCCTTTGAATGCATCTGGGCGCTAGCTTCTGGCTACTAGATGTATTTTCTTTCTCTGAGCTTTTTTCTTGCCATTTCTCGTAATAAACCTAATCTGTATATAACACAAACTGTTTACATGTTTATTTACACTATTTGACATCCGCAAACTGAACTTCCGGACAAATCCGGTTTCCGGGACAAATCCAGCTGCAACACATGGATCTATTAGCAGCCACAGTGTAAGCGCAGGGTTCGGTTCGGTTCGGTGGGGAAAATTTCTAAGGTTTGGCCAGAAACCTAACCCCGTCAAAAAAGCCAATATTCGTCCGAATCCGAATCCTGGATTCGGTTCATCCCTAGTCTTACCACATAGTGTAACAACTTGAATATTGGAGCATTATGACAGAATGGGCTACTTGTAGCAGTTCCTGATGATTAGCTTGGATCGAGTCAAAAACCAGGTAATATCAGGTCTGTTTTAGATGAACCATTTTGTCACATGTTAACTGAATAGAGAACAAAACAATATATTCATAAATATGTTTACATTCATGCAAAAATACACACGAGGACATGAAAGCAGGTCACAAATATTATTTCAAGCAAATGCAGTCAGAATATTGGTGGAGCTTCAGTTGATCCACCTGCGAGCCTGAGCGTAGTGCTGAGTGTATGAGCGGCGGGTGGGCAGGGCCTCTGCATCCAACTCCTCCTCTTCTTTCTCCGGCTCCTCCTCCATGTGTCTCTGCCTGCTTAAGGTGCTGCGGGGCTGAGAAACACAAGTACCCTTGCAGCCATGAACTTACCCAAATACATAAATACAGATGAGGTTTTAGACATGTTGGTTAAATTACTGCATACTGCAGCTGTGTTGCACATATGCCTGAATCCAAGCTGATTATTTCAGCTGCCGGTGACATATTGTAAGTTTCTCCATTGCGTGATCAATAAGCTTTATCTTTTCATATCTTATATAACGATTTTTACAGGAACAACAATTCTGTGATTTCAGCGACAAAACAAGAACAAATATGGCATGTCATGACATTGACACAGCAAACACAGTGTCAGTGTAATGCATTGACACAAAACAAAGAGGCAGAGGCTGAGGATGTTGGGGCGGATACCTCCATCTCCCTGGCTGAGGTCACCAAGGTGGTTGGCAGCCTCCTTGGTGGCAAGGCTCCGGGTGTGGATGAGATCTGTCCTGACTATCTAAAGTCTCTGGATGTTGTAGGACTGTCTTGGCTGACACGTCTCTGCAACATCGCATGGCGCTTGGGGGCGGTACCAGTGGCAAACCGGGGTGGTGGTCCCTCTCTACAAGATGGGGGACCGGAGGGTGTGTTCCAATTATCGTGGAATCACATTGCTCAGCCTCCCCGGTAAGGTCTACTCGAAGGTACTGGAGAGGAGGCTACGACTGATGGTCCAATCTCGGATTCAGGAGGAGCAGTGTGGTTTTCGTCCGTATTAGTATTAGCGCCACAAGCTGGAACAAGTGTTGTACTACAGCTTGTTACTCTGGCTTGTTTGCGAATACACGTTCATGTGACCGGGGGCCGTTTTCACACCCCTGTGGCGACGATCCGGGCCACTTGTACCAGTTCGCTAGTAAAAACCTATGTGACCGTGCCCTAAAACAACTTGAGGGTCAAATCTTTACAGGCACTGGTAATATTCTGTTGGCAGAAAAAATAATTGCTACTTGTCAGAGCAGAGTATAGTAAGGAATCAGCAAACCGGCCAGCGTCTAACATTATTCGATTGAATCAATCTTTTGATGAACAAAACCAGGCAGAATTCTAGCATGGTAAACTAAACAACTTGAGACAAAAAAAAAGCATAACTAAAAGTATAACCAATAACGGGGAGACAATAGTTGACCCTATACAAACAAACAAGATGACTCTAGATTTTGATAATATGCAACAGAATTCCTTTTTAGATAAGCTAACCATTCCCACAATTTCAGATCAATTAGAAACTGAAATGAGTGTTTCAAGCTCTGTTTTTACAACAGGTCAGCATGGAACTCGGCCAGGAAGACTGTTTGGAAGGCTTGTTTAAAAAGAAGTATACGCTATATTATATATATATAGTTATATATATACACTAGGGCTGTCAAACGATTAATTTTTTTAGTTGATCTATCGCATAGTAATGATGAGTTAACTCACGATTAATCGCATTTTTAACATTCTATTTCAAATCCACTCCAATTGAAGTTAAATGAGATTTTCAAATGTAAAGACACATTGTTATTCATACCAAATGTACTTCAATCTGTTTGACTTGCTCACAACCTTCTACTTTTGGGTACAACCAACAATAGCTGTTAATGAAAGGGAAAATGTAGGTACCCCAGCTTTAATTTTACGAGTTTGGTTGCATTTCAGCGTGTCTCCTCCTCTCCTCCGTGTGTCACACAACATCAGAGAATGGCCCTGTGCGTGTATATATGTGTGTATTATATGACCACGTTACCGCTGTCACCATCACACACACGCACATGTCCGCGGAATTCTGAGTGATATTATTATAAATGGGCGGGTCATTCGGACATGCGATTGACTGCCAGCCTATTTCAGAACAGGTACTCCCATATTGCCAGCCGTTTCTGATGATTTTTACTGAATTTTCAAGACCCACAGAATATTGTGTACTATGACTATCTGAAATCCAAAACCAGATTCTGAAAGAATGGACTGTCTACTTTCATCAGCAAAAATAATTTTGTTTCTAGCTTGTTTCGTTCCCCTGTAATCCCCAGTCGAGTAGAGGTAAGTTTTATTGAAATCACCAGAAAGCTGAGAAAAACGAGGCACAAGTGCATCTAGCTGTTTCAAGCCATTCATAGAGCAATGCTGCCATCTGCTGGCTCGATAAAATATTGCCTCAAGCTTACATATTTGATATTTGATACAATAGACATCTGGGAACGTGAAAATAGCGGGAAACGCAGTTAATGCGTTAAAGTGTCCGTGATTTTACAGAGAATCTCTGGATCTAAAACGTGTCTGAATGGCGCGCACCACATTTGAGCGGTGGGACCTCTCCTTGCACCTGTTGCGCACTGCCCCAGAGCCACTGCCCGTGAGCCCGTTCCTACAGATAAGTGTGTTGCATCCTATCTATAAACTGCTACATGCAGGGCAGTGGCTGAGACGGTTTTGAGTGAGACCATTGATGCGTTTATGGGGCTTTATGCACAAAACTAAGGAAAAAACACAATGCTTTGCCAGAGGAGAATGAGGAAAAACAAATGCGTAATTACGCAGCGCAGGGCCTGCCACAGATTGACGGAGTTAGTCAGTAAGTCAAGGGTATTTGTATAGCGCCTTTCACAGACCAGGATCACAAAGCATTTCACATTTAAAAAAACATACAGATGAAAATAATACGCACAAGTCAGATTTAAGAACGAAGAAACAGAAGAGGGTCGTATCATGAACTGTGATTTATTCGAAGTTTGCGTGTTTCCATTAGACATTTTCTGATGTGCAAATTCAAATTTAGAAATGTGATGCTCCATGAAAACGCAGCTTATAATTTTGCCAGAGTGGGAACATGTTTATTGTTGTCCAAATCTTGAATTTCATGCGTTTTGGTGTGTTATAATGAAGGTTGAGATGAGCGTACACATTCCACCAACTGACTTGGCCTATATTCTGTGCTCAAGTCCAGATTGATAAATGCCAAAAAGTGTACATTTTTGCGTACGCCTCATTTACACCCTGATTTGGCCGTACGAAAGTTTCATAAATGAGGGCCAATGGCACGCAAGAGAAAATTATTGTTATGCTATTTTTTGGGAATTTACAACTTTGTAACTGTGATTTTGGGCAAATACAAAAATAAATGATTTTTTTGTTTAATTTTAACCAGCTTCATGCAACTGTTGATTGATGTCTTAGATGATTCAAGTTAACGCAGTTATGATCAAGTTATCAATAGTTATCTTCTGTGTAATATTGTGGAAAGTATATTGTTTCCTCGTGATGCACTGTTCTGTGTCTGATGGGAGTTGTACACCCAAAGAGGAAAGATAACAAAACACACTGACCCTCACCCTGGGTATGGACTCAGCTTCTGGTCCCTGCAGCTCTCGAAGGGGCCCCCTTGTGCTGGTGCTGTGGTGGGGCCCATGGTACAGAGGCTGTCCACTCAATGGACTGTCCACACGGGACGAGAGGAAGTCTTGTGTGCAAATACGCCCACTGAACATCTGCAAGAAACCAGAGCACAGAGAAGTCAGCAGCTTTTTTTCAAAACAAATGTTTATAAAATGAAAAGTTATTTCTCAAGTGTAAACAAGCACAATCATTAAAGTTGCACCAATTGATCAGTTACTCATCAAGTCGGCCAATAACAGGAAAAATTACCTGATATGACTTGCAAAATGTGTCACTTTTTCAAATGAAAAAAATAAAAATGTGAATGGCCCTTCTCCCTTGCTCAGCGTGAGCCAGGGTCTGGTACAAGCCCCTCTGTAAGAGCAGCTCATACTGTACGGATTGCGCTTAAAAAGCCCAGGGCATATTCTCTGCGTGTTTGCTTTATATTTGTACACAAATAGGTCTGGCATGCGCCTCCTGTACTGGCAACCCCGCTCCCATCTCGCTGTGTGGAGTGAGAGAATGCCCAAAAAAATAACAATTGTATACCGCTTTGTGACCCTGGTCTGTGAAAGGCGGTATATAAATAAAGATTACTTGCTTACTTACACAAATTTCTCTTTTGAAATCATATTCATCACAGATAAATGTGGTTCTTCTATCACTGTCAACATTTCTCTACTTTTCTCAAAACAGCTGCCCGCTTAGTCCTGCCCTCTCCTTTCCAGTATCACTCAACAGACAACCACTGAAGATTATTGGTGATCGGTGTATTGTTACTGTTGCTCACCTGCCCATCACCGTATAAAGCCCGCCCTAACAATTTGATTGGTCCGGTTTGTTTCAGACTTGCCATAATAGTTCGCCAACAAAGTGAGGCCAGACCGACTGCCTTCTGAAATGTTAAATAGGTGGGGCCAAAGTTTGGCTACACCTAGGCTACCATTATACTTAATTATCTGAAAAGTCCATTTTAATTGGCTCCACATTCAGAACCAGAGAATATTCCATAATTTGACGTCTACAACACTTGTGGATTTACAGATCACATGGAACCTTTCAAATGCAACATTTGGCAATAGGTCATGAGAATTTTCAAAATAAATGGCCACCAATAAGAATCAGAATAATTGTTATTGCCACGTAAGTAACAGGAAGTTACAGACTTGGAAATTGCTTTGGCTCGGTGCATCAGTCAGAAAAGAGAGGTAAAGAATAGAGAATAGAGTAAGACATAATACAAATCAGCATATACTTCTAAGGTAGAACATCCATCCATCCATTTTCTTCCGCTTTATCCGTTGCCGGGTCGAGGGGGCAGCAGTCTAAGCAGAGACGCCCAGACTTCCCTATCCACACACACTTCCTCCAGCTCGTCCGGGGGGACCCCAAGGCGTTCCCAGGCCAGCTGAGAGACATAGTCCCTCCAGCGTGTCCTGGGTCTTACCCGGGGCCTCCTCCCGGTGGGACGTGCCCGGAACACCTCCCCAGGAAGGCGTCCAGGAGGCATCCTGAACAGATGCCCGAGCCACCTCAACTGGTTCCTCTCGACGTGGAGAAGCAGCGGCTCTACTCCGAGCTCCTCCCGTGTGACCGAGCTCCTCACCCTATCTCTAAGGGAGCGCCCAGCCACTCTGCGGAGGAGGCTCATTTCGACCGCTTGTATCCGCGATCTCGTTCTTTCGGTCATTACCCACAGCTCATGACCATAGGTGAGGGAGGGAACGCCTTTCGGCTCAGCTCCCTCCTCACCACAACGGTCCGATACAGCGACCGCATCACTGCGCACGCTGCACCGATCCGCCTGTCAATCTCACGCTCCATCCTTCCCTCACTCGTGAACAAGACCCCGAGATACTTGAACTCCTCCACTTGAGGAAGGACCTCTCCACCCACCTGGAGAGGGCAAGGCATTTTTTTCCGGTCGAGCACCATGGCCTCAGATTTGGAGGTGCTGATTCTCATCCCAGCCGCTTCGCACTCGGCTGCAAACCGTCCCAGTGCATGCTGCAGGTCCTGGTTTGTTGGAGCCAGCAGGACGACATCATCCGCAAAAAGTAGAGATGAAATCCTGTGGTCCCCGAACCGGAGCCCCTCCGGCCCCTGGCTGCGCCTAGAAATTCTGTCCATAAATACAGTGAACAGAACCGGTGACAAAGGGCAGCCTTGGCGGAGGCCAACATGCACCGGGAACAGGTCTGACTTACTGCCGGCAATGCGAACACAGCTCTGACTCCGGTCATACAGGGACCGGACGGCCCTCAGCAGAGGACCCCGGACCCCGTACTCACGGAGGACCCCCCAAAGGACACCCCGGCGAACACGGTCGAACGCCTTCTCCAAATCCACAAAGCACATGTGGACAGGTTGGGCGAACTCCCATGAACCCTCGAGTATCCGATGGAGAGTATAGAGCTGGTCCAGTGTTCCGCGACCGGGACGAAAACCACACTGCTCCTCCTGAATCCGAGATTCGACCATCGGACGTAGCCTCCTCTCCAGTACCTTGGAGTAGACCTTACCGGGGAGGCTGAGGAGTGTGATCCCACGATAATTGGAACACACCCTCCGGTCCCCCTTCTTGTAGAGAGGGACCACCACCCCGGTCTGCCACTCCATTGGCACCGCCCCCGATCGCCACGCGATGTTGCAGAGACGTGTCAGCCAAGACAGTCCCACAACATCCAGAGACTTTAAATAGTCAGGATGGATCTCATCCACTCCCGGCGCCTTGCCACCATGGAGGCTGCCAACCACCTTGGTGACCTCGGCCAGGGAGATGGAAGTATCCGCCCCAACATCCTCAGCCTCTGCCTCCTGGACGGAGGACGTGACGGGGGGATTGAGGAGAACCTCGAAGTATTCCTTCCACCGTCCGACAATATCCCCAGTCGAGGTCAGCAGCCCTCCACCCGCACCATACACGGTGTTGGCAAAGAACTGCTTCCCCCTCCTGAGGCGCCGGACGGTTTGCCAGAACCTCTTCGAGGCCGACCCATAGTCATACTCCATGGACTCTCCGAACTCCTCCCAGTCCCGGGTTTTTGCCTCTGCAACAGCCCGGGCCGCGGCACGCTTGGCCTGCCGGTACTGGACAGCTGCCTCCGGAGTCCCACGAACCATCATTGCTCGATAGGACTCCTTCTTCAGCCTGACGGCATCCCTTACTGCCGGTGTCCACCACCGGGTTCGGGGATTGCCGCCGGGACCAGCACCAGAGACCTTGCGACCACAGCTACGAGCCGCCGCATTGGCAATAGAGGAAGAGAACATGGTCCACTCGGACTCGATTTCCCCCTCCTCTGCCGGGACCTGGGAGAAGCTCTCCCGGAGGTGCGAGTTGAAAGTCCGTCTGACAGGGGGCTCAGCGAGACGTTCCCAGCAAACCCTCACTACACGCTTGGGCCTGCCAGGTCTGACCGGCCTCCTGCCCTGCCAGTGGATCCAACTCACGACCAGGTGATGATCAGTTGACAGCTCCGCCCCTCTCTCCACCCGAGTGTCCGAGACACGCGGTCGAAGGTCAGATGATACGACAACAAAGTCGATCATCGACCTCCGGCCTAGGGTGTCCTGGTGCCACGTGCACTGGTGGACACCCTTGTGCTCGAACATGGTGTTTGTGATGGACAGGCCGTGACTGGCACAGAAGTCCAACAACTGAACACCGCTCGGGTTCAGATCAGGGGGGCCGTTCTTCCCGATCACCCCTCTCCAAGTGTCACTGGCATTTCCCACATGGGCGTTGAAGTCCCCCAGGAGAATAACGGAGTCCCCGGGCGGTGCACTGTCCAGTACCCCTCCCAAGGACTCCAAGAAGGCCGGGTACTCTGCACTGCCGTTAGGCCCGTATGCCGTCACAAAAGTGAGAGACTTGTCTCCCACCCGGAGGCGGAGGGACGCGACCCTCTCATTCACCGGGGAGAACTCCAACACGTGGCGGCTGAGATGGGGGGCAATGAGTATGGCCACCCCAGCTCGCCGCCTCTCCCCGCGGGAAACACCAGAAAAGTGGAGCGTCCAACCCCTCTCAAGGAGTTGGGTTCCAGAGCCCAAGCTGTGTGTGGAGGTGAGGCCGACTATCTCTAGTCGGTATCGCTCAACCTCCCCCACAAGCTTGGGCTCCTTCCCCCCCAGTGAGGTGACGTTCCACGTCCCAAGAGCCAGATGTTGGGTGTGTGGACTGGGTCGTCGAGGTCTCCGCCTTCGACTGCTGCCCAGTCCTCGCTGCACCTCGCCACCACGGACCCCTCTGCAGGTGGTGGGCCCACAGGAGGGACTGCCCATGTCATCCCTTCGGGCTGAGACCGGCCGGGCCCCGTGGGCTAAGGCCCGGCCACCAGGCGCTCGCTTGCGAGCCCCGACCCCAGGCCTGGCTTCAGGGTGGGGCCCCGGCTGCGCCATGCCGGGCGACGTCACTGTTCTAATATTAGTGCTGTCCATGGTTGGCTTCGGACTGCGCTTCGTCTGACTCGTCAATTGAGACCTGTCTGCCATGGGAGACCCTACCAGGGGCATGAAGCCCCAAACAGCATAGCTCCCAGGATCATCCGAGTGCTCAAACTCCCCCACCATGTTAAGGTGGCAGTCCAAGGGAGAGAAGGTAGAACATTTGTAATAGAATTATTACGATTATAATAACAATTGTAGGGGGTTTTAAAATGACATCTTAGTATGCTGCCCTTCTTCCCCTCTGATAAGACCGCCGCCCCCTTGTGGGAGGCAGCCCGAGAAGTGACAAAACTCTATTTTGACTCTTTCTTCCGAAGAAGTTTGCTTAAGGAGGGCCGAGAGGCCTGACCATCTATATTCAACTGCAAGATCCAGACATGAACAAGGGGCCTCATTCACGAACCGTACTTAAGAACAAATTTGTGCATAAATCCTACTTACGAAGAATTTACGAAGATTGTGGAATTCATGAAATTTTCTCTTGGGTACATACAAATCCTACGAATGCTCAGGAGCACTCGTACGCACATTCAGTGCCGACATGTTCGCACACTGGTGTTATGAAGTTCAATAAAACAAAACATTACAGTGATATGTCCGTCATATTGATGTATGTATTTATTTATTTAATAGTTAATGGTAATTTAGCCTATTTTTT